AGAACAAAGGATTCCCTCCTCTTCACTGGAATAGAACATGAACAGGGAATTCAAGAAAGTATTAATTAAATACTAAGAACTGTGCAGAGAGAATCGCACCAAATGATACTCTTTCAAAATATTTCTTGAACAAACATCTGAAAATGCATGTGTGTGTGTGTGTTCATGCATGCATCTGTGGGTGCATTATATATAATATATATACATATATATACATATATATTATAAATGTATTTATATATGTATGTGTATATGTATATGCATGTATATACATATATATGTATATATATGTATATATATATATATATATATATATATATATATGCATGTATATATCTATATATATGTATATATATATATGCATGTATATATCTCTATATATGTATATATATATGCATGTATATATCTCTATATATGTATATATATATGTATGTATATATCTATATCTCTATATATCTGTATATGTATATATGTATATATGGATATATGAATATGTGTATGTATATGAGTGTATGTGCATGTATATACATGTTTATATATATATGTATATATATATTTATATACATATATATCTATGTTTATATATATGTATATACATATATGCATATATATACATATACATTATATATAAATATACATATTATATCTGTACATATATATACATGATATATGTGTGTGTGTGTGGTATATATATGTATGTGTGTGCACATATGTGTATATTTATACGTGTACATATACATATACATGAGTATATATCATATATATGTACATACATATACACATACTTATATGTGTTATATATAATATATATACATATATACACACGTATATAAATATGTACATACATACATATACATATGTATATAATTATATACATACACATACATATGTATATAATATATATAATTTATATAATATGTATACATATATATGTATACACATACATACACACACACACATATATATATGTATAGATATATATGTATATGTACATATATATACACATGTATATATACATATATGTATTTGTGTGTATACGTATATCTATATCTATATATACACATTTATGTGTATACATGTGTATGTGTATATAGATGTGTGTGTGCGTGTGCGCGAGTGTGTGTTTGTGTTTGTATGTCTGTGTATGTGTATATGTATGTGTGTGTGCGCGCATGCGTGTGTGTATGTGTATGTGTGCGTGTGTGCCCGCGCGCGTGTGTGCATGGTCGTGCGTGTCTGCGTGGTGAGAGTGCGAGTGTGAATGTCAATATTTTTTTGTTTATATTAAAGCAGAAATAGACAGTGTTGTTAGTGAAGTCAGGATACCATTAAATCTTGAACGTATAGTGTGTGGGTCGCTCCACTAAGTTCACTTTCGTTCTTGTCTCGTAGAACACCTCCTTCGCAAGGCCGTATAACTGTTGTTTGTAAAACCGGTGTTGCCGCCTTGTTGTCGTTTTGTTGTTTCATATTCTTGTCCATTAGAAACAAAATATTCTATGACCAACAATGTTTTATTAAATCTAATCATGAAATGCTTTATTATATACATTAATAATATCCAATTTTGTTCATAATAGTAAACATCACGATGCACCATCTTGGGGTGATAAAAAAATCTCCTTTGTATACAAGAGCAGCATTATAGAAGCAAATGCCGTTCGAAAAATCGACAAAACACGGAAATCCCTCGTCCAAAAATCCCAATGTGGCTCGTATCAAGTAGACAGTTCACAACCGGCCAACACGCTGTGCCTCTTCACCTATTTTTTCCGTCTTCATCTTCATCTCTATCTTCCGGGCTTTGTTCTTTTAGCCCAGGAAGCGGATGTTGGTGTCGATTCCGGCGGCGTTCGAATGCCTGTTGCACAGCTGGATGATCCTGTCCATGTTGCGACCTTGGCGAGCCTCGTGCAACGCCAGCAGGAGACGGATCACCTCGTGGCGGCTTGGCGTGCACACGTGGTACTCGTCGGCGCTGAGGGGGAGGAAAAAAGGGAAGAAGGGGAGAGGAAGGAAAAGAGGGAGAGAGAGGAAGAGAGAATGGGTGGAAGTACAGGAATGATGGAAGGGTGGAAGGGAAGGTGTGAGGAGTAAGAGGGAAAAGGCAAAGAAGGAAGAAAGGGGGGAAAGGGAGATAATGGAAGACGAGAGCAATGGAGAGAAAGAAGATTAGGAAGGAGAGAGGGAAAAGATAAGAAGGGAAGACATTTAATACACCACTGTTGTAAGAAAACGATAACATTCGCTCTCTAGCATTGGAGATGTTAGTGTTCAATCTATATCTATCAACCAAGAGTGCAGTTAGTGAAATAATAGCGAATATCAAGGTCTCATGCCTTTCACATCTATAGATCCTTGAACAAGTCCAAGGCTAATTTGAAAAGGCCCATCAAGATTTTATCGCCAAACGAAGACCTGCTACCCAGACGGCACCCGGGCCAAGAATAATGCAAAACAACCCGTCCACCTTACGCAGATGGAGCGACATTATCATGAAGGCCAATGTACCTTTTTGCGGCCACGTTCGAAGGTCTCCGTGTTGCATCACACTCACCTGGCCTCACGCCGCCATCTGAGCAAGCAAAGCGCCTCACCTGGAGGAGGTGCGGAACCGCCTGGGCGACCTCTTGGAGAAGCCGCTGGGGGAGAGAGTGACTCCCGAAGGCAGCTGGTCCTCGGAGGGGGGGATGCCGACGAGGGTGGAGACCGGGATCAACAGCTGGTCCACTGCAAAACGAGAGAGGGAACACTAAGGATTACTTTAAAGTGTGTGCGCGTTTAAGTGTGTGTTTGTGTGTGTGTGAGAGAGAGAAGGTGGGTGGGTGTAGAGTACATGTGTGCGTCTAAGCAGTGGCAGGCATAGAAAAAAAAACATTATAATGGTACTATTAACTGTAATGATGATCTTATCATCATAATTATTGTTATTGTTACCATTATTATTATTACTATTGTTGATAATAAACATGGTAATAATGATGATATCAATAATGACAATAATAATAATAATAACTCTACTGATAATTATAATGATAATGATGATAATGATAATAAAAATTATGTACAAACATGCGAAAGCATATTTGCATTTTGCTCACGCTCTCTGGGAATGGCGAAGTCGGCGTCTGGGCCATCGAGGGCGCTCCCGTAGGCCGCGAGGAAGAAAACGGCGAAGACGAGGAGGGGGAACTTGAGTAAACTGGCCATCGCGGATTTGGACGTTCGTTCCTGAGGTAAGAGAGGAGAGGGGCTGAATATTTCAGTTCGTTATATTATTTTCAGTTAGATAAGTAAATGATGGATAAAGCCCTCTGTTAGGTAGAGGTAGAGATATCTGGAGAAAATGAATTTGTTACTGATACAATGGCAACCGTGTGATATATTTGTGTTTGTAATTAAGACATGTAAGATCTTCCCGATAACTAGATTTTGTAGATTATCAATCCTTTCATTATTAGATGTTGCTCAGGGTTATCTTATGATCAAAATAATAATTATCAAGGTATAATAAAACTTACACAGCTTAACGAGGGCAACAGTGATAATGTTAGCAACAAAATTGATAATTTTTACAATTTTAACCCAATCACCCCAAAAATACTTATCATGCCCACGGTAATACAAGTTTATTTATTGCATTTGCACATAGATGGCTCTACAAGTACCTAGTCACCAAGGAGTCAGTTATTAGTCCTATCTGTCACACCTGTTTACCCTATTCCTCAACTTTTGAAAAGGGTCTTTTACATTATTTCATTGTCTTAAATGTTACCAAGATTGTAATAACAATTTAACAATCATAAAATCAATGACAATAATAACAGTGTCGAATTCAATTGTATTAAAAAGAAAGTTTCCCGCCAATTCAAGGAATGGGGAAGTCAGGATCGGTAACTAGAGCCTACTGATAGACTCTTTGTCGGCTGCAATCTATACGTAACAAAATTCACAAAAAATACAGAGGGTAGAACATAAATCCGTGGTGGTTGGGTTAATGCTGTCATTATTAACATTAATTCCATTATTTCTACTTTTACTTTTCTACTTAAGTTTATGTTGATAATGGTGATAGTGAAATAAAGCTAACAAGCATCGTTATTATAATTATCATTGGTATTATGGCAGTTACTATTAGTCATCGTAACTGTTATGAGTAATACTACCATCATCAATATCAACACCACCATTACCATTGCTATTGTTGTTAACATTAATATCATTATCATCAATTACGGTAGTAGTGGTATTGTTCTCATTATTGTTATCATACTGTCGTCATTATCATCTTGATTAACGCAATCGCCCCGTATAATAAGAAGATATGTCATGCCCATTATAATGCAAGTTTATTTATTGTAGTTACACATAGATGGCTCTACAAGTGTTTAGTCACCAGGGAGTCGGTTATTAGTCCTACCTACCTCACCTGCTTATCCTTTTCCTCGACTTTTGGAAAGGGTCTTTGGCATTATTTCATTGTCTTAAATGTCATCGAGATTTTAATAACAATTTGATAATCATAACATCAATAGAAATAATAAAAGTATCGATACCAACTGTGTTAACAGGAAAAACACATAATCCCGCCATTTCAAGGAATGGGGAAATTAGGATCGGTCACTAGGGCTTCTGATAGACTCCTTGCCGGCTGAGGACATGTGGAGCCATCTGTAGGCAACAACATTCACCCAAAAATACAGGGGCCAACGTAATCCGGGGCGGTTGGGTTAATATGCTCATCGACTTCACCACCCTTAGCAGTATTACTAATCATCAATGTCATTATTAACATCATTATTGTGCAGTAAAGTAGTGATGATAGGCACGTTACCCTCCCCCCCCCCTCGCTCCGCCAGCTACAGCCGCCTGGTGAATGAAATGTCCAGGATTTACGTCACAGTGACATGCCCCTTCGCTTTCATCGGTCAGTAGTGAATTAATTTTGTTATTCTTATCATTATGATCATTATCAATTACTATCATTAACTTGAGGTAGTGATAGTTATGAACATCCTTATCAATATCATTACCAATATCGTTATTATAATTTGCATCATTGTTTTTATTAATTATCATTGTTATTATCATCTTCCTGGTTATTCTTATTATCTACATCATTATCGCTATTATTATCACTACCATTGCCTTTATTATCATCATCATGATATATATATGTTTGTACATATATATTATTATCATCACAACCACTACTGCTACTGTCATTATCATGACAATAATTAACATTAATACTCTTATTACTATTATCATTATTGGTGTTGCTATTATCATTGTTATTATCACCATTATCGTTATCTTTGTTATCATTATTATTATTGTTATTATCACCATTATCATTATCTTTGTTATCATTAAAATTATTGTTATTATCATCATCATTAATATAGTTATTACCAATAATATTTTCACTTATTATTTTCAGATGTCATCATTATTATCATCAGAGTTTCTATTGCCATTGTTACTACTGTTATCAATATTATTTTAATATTAGTATTAATGTTATCATCACTAAAAATTTACCAACGTGATCCTTGCTATTATAAGAAATGTCTAAAGGATTGCTGCTACAATATCAACAAATTTGAAAAAGAAAGACAAAAAAAAAAGGAGGCTATGACTTTGACTTTGTCAAATGCGGACTTACTTCCCGATGGTGTCAGATCAGCAGATGAGGTCGAAGTGGCTGGAGACACGACCTGCAACATCTTATATCTCTCGTCCTGTCGAGTTGCCAGCTTCACGCCCACTCTTTTCTGTGGCATAGAGAGCGCCCATGAAATCTTTTACAAGACCTTTCTTGCTATTTCGTTCATGATGCTTTTACCTTTTCATTTTTCTCTCATTTTTCGTTTGGGTGACTGAATGACTTATCGCATTTAAGGCAACGGATTTTCTTATTAAGTATTTTGTTTTACATTTCTTCTTTCTTTTTTCCTTTTTTCTGCGTCTCCTTTTTCCTTTTTTCAAGGGAAAACAATCCGTTTTTCGAGGGTGTTTCCATTCCTTTGAGCTCACGCCGCCCACGCTATTCCCGCAGGGATCATATCGTCACCAGAAATGCCGCTGCTATGGCTATTGAGGTCACAATATCACTTATAATCTTGTTATAAGTGTCTCGATAGGGTATCAGATTCTGTAATTAGCTTCTTGTTCGGTGTCCTTTGCACATGATACTATTGGATTCTAGCATTTCAAGAAAGGGAGTTCGTTCTCTGCAGCGAAGTGTGAAAGGGCTGCCCCGCGCAGCTCCCTCGGTTTTGAGAAGATTCAAACTATGATAGAGAATGCCTTGATACATTTTATTTTCTTCTTATTTATCCCCTACCCTCCAACCTTTTCACCCATCTATCTGTACATGTACACACACACACACACACATATATGTATATGCACACACACACAGAGACATATATATGTGTGTGTGTGTGTGTGTGTGTGAAACGGCCGCAACAAGAAATCAAAAGAAATCGATTTATTTTAATTTCTTATTGTGACTATTTTCCTTTTCCTCTTTGTGTACACGTTACTGCATTTTGGTTTGTGTTCGCACACACACACACGTGCTCACACACGCTCACACACACACACACGCACACACACACACACACACACACACACACACACATATGAACACACACACACACACATATATATATATGTGTGTGTGTGTGGGTGTGTACACACATATAATATATGTACATATACATACATACATATGTTTATATATATATTACATATTTGTATATATGGATGTTCATTTGTTTCTTTTCAAATTTCCTTTCATCTTTAATAAATGTTATTTTCATCACAAGCAGCCATACTTTCTCATTTGTTACTTTAACCCACTAGGCGCGGGTACTTGAACTGTCCACTCGTTTTAGAAAAAAAAAAATTGCACACAGATGGCGCCACAGATGCTCAGCCAGTAAATCAGTAGGCACGACGTGGCCTCACCTGATTTCGCTATCCCTGGAATTTTCGGGAAAATGTTTTTTGTTTTAATTCTATTGATATCCATACTCTTATTATCATTAATGGAATTATGAGTATTATATTACTCAAATATTACTTATAATATAAATATAAATTATTTTTTCCCGAAAATCAGACTAAAGGGTAAAAGGGGAGATGGATATGACTATTGATTGACTTTTCCATGACTTTTGAGGAATCTATACGTAAATATAAATGAAATAAAATCAGTGGACATGGCATCTATTTCATTTCAATTCATGTCATCTCAGCACAATAGGTTAAGTGCCTTCACTTGTATATGTATGCTGTAAATCTATTTTGTCGTTATGTATGTGTATATGTATGTATGTGTGCACAGGCATATAAAAACAATACAGAACAAGACACATCATGGGGATTTCAACATCTAGATACCATACGTTATCGAATGACGAATGGTCCACCCACTATTCAATCTTGGTAATGAAGTCAGGCGGCAGATCCCGCAGACTCATTCAGTCCGTTCCAGGCATTTGTTGTATAGTGTCAAATAATGCTCTACCTTCATACATGCTTTCTCGCCGGGGAATTACCGAATAGCCCTGTGTCAAAGGCTCTTGATTGCGTGTCTTCTCTATAAGCTAAATCATTCTCTCTCTCTCTCTGTATTTCTGTATATCAATAAACACACACACATATACACACACACATACACATACACACACAAACACACAAATACCCACACACGCACAAATACATGCACACACACAAATGCACACACACACATACACACACAGAAATATATATATAGATTATATAGATTTATATATATGTACATAAAGATATATATACATACATAAATACACACACACACAAATATATATGTTGTATATATATGTATATATATATGCATGTGTATATATATTTATACATACATATATATACATATATATACACACATACACATAAACACACACAAACACGCACACATACATATAGATAGATAGATATAGATATATAGATATATATCTATCTATATATATAAATTAATATTTACATATGTAAGTAATATTTACATATGCACACACATTCCCATATATATACATAAACACACAGATATATACATATATACACACATATATACATATGTATACATATATATGCATATATAGACACACACATATACATATCTATCTAAATATATATGTTATGTGTGTGATTATGTGTGTCTGTGTATGTATGTACACACATCTACACACAAACACACACATGCATGCATACATACATATATGTATATATATATACATACATGTATATGCATATACATTTACATATATACATGTGTATCCGTACATATATAGAGAGACAGACAAACAGATAGACAGACAGAGACAAAGAGAAAGACAGAGAGAAAGATATAGAAAGATCGATATAAATATACATGTATATATATATGAATATATATATATATACATACATATATACATATTATGTGTGTATGTGTTTTTGTATATGTACACACATATGTCGGCATGAGACCTGTTACTTGCATAATCCGGGATCGCCATTTCACGTTATATGAGCACGTAGCTCGCTTCCCTGTGGATGACCCTGCCCATCAGGTGGTCTCTCTGCGAGACAATCCTGGATGAAGTAGGCTCGTGGGACGACCTAGGTCATGGCTTGGGCAGCTCGACGAGACGTCGCGAGGAGTTAGAGATGGGTCGATGGCTGGAAGCGAAGGGTGGAGGCGGCCATGCGCCCCCGTCGGCGTTAGCCCCTTGCTGCTGATGATGATACACACATATATGTCATATATACATGTATATGATATATGTTATATTATATTATATATATACATGTATATGATATATGTTATATTATATTAGATATATACATACATATATGTATATGTACATATATACATATATATATACAAAAATATATATACATATACAAACATATATGTGTGTGTGTATTTATATATACATACATGTATCTCTCTCTCTCTAGTGTATATGTATATATGTGATGTGTATATATTTATACACAGATCACACACACACACATATATACATATATATATAACATATGTCGTTTTCTCGGGCTCGAGCAAGGAGTCAGAACGCAGGCATTTTTACGACTGCCGCGATGGTCCAGTGGTTAGAGCACTGGTTTCCGACCCTCATGGTCCCGAATTCAATTCCCCGTCGCGGCGGTCGTAAAAATGTCTGCGCTCTGACTGCTGGCTCGAGCCCGAGAAAATGACATATTGCCCTGAGAAGTCAAACGCAGGTGTCGTAGGGGAAGTCACCGCCGTGGCAAGCGTTAGCGCGCCGAACCGCGGTTGATTTGGAACTACATCCAATCAGGCAAGGGTGGCACTGCCATATAACCTCTCAATAGTGAATTGAGAGGTTGTAGTGGAATAAAAAAAGAGATACTGCCGCGATGGTCCAGTGGTTACAGAACTGGACTCCGACCCTCGTGGTCCCGAGTTCAATTCCCCGTCGCGGCGGTCGTAAAATTGCCTGCGCTCTGACTGTTGGCTCGAGCCCGAGAAAATGACATATCGCCTTGAGAAGTCAAACGCAGGTGTCATAGGGGAAGTCACCGCCGTAGCACAAGTGTTAGCGGTTGATTAGGAAGGGCATCCAATCAGACAAGGGTGACACTGCCATATAACCTCTCAATAATGAATTGAGAGAGGCCTATGTCCTGCAGTGGAATGAATGGCTCTTGAAAAAAAAAAAATATATATGAGTGTGTATATATATTTTGTATATATATGTATATACACATATATATATTGTATATATATGTATATATATTTTGTATATATATGTATATATACATATATATATTGTATATATATGTATATATATATATGCGTATATATATGTGTGTATATATACACATGAATATATATATATATATATATATATATATATATACATATATACATATGTGAATATATATATATTTATATATATGTATATAGATATATATACACATATACATACATAAATACATATATACACATATATGCATACATTTATGCATATATACATACATATCTACATACATATATGTGTGTATGTTCCTATATATATATGCATACATATATACTCACACACACATATATATACATATATATACGTATATATATGTAAACATGTATATGTGTATGTCTGTATATGTATATATATATGTATGTATACAAACACACAAATATACATACACATGTATATACATATATATTTATATATATATATATATTCATATATATATTTATATATATGTGTATATATATGTACATTTATATAGTCGTATATAGATATATATGTATATGTACATACATATAAGTAAGTATATATATTCAAATTTACCATGTATACTTATACATATATATATATGTGTACGTATATATATGTATATATACATATATATTTATATATGTATATACATATAAATATACATACGTTTCACACACACATACAGACATATATATATGTATATATATATACATATATATAAATATTTATATGAATATATATATATATATATATATATATGTGTGAATATATATGTATATATATACATATATATGCATATGTACACACACACACACACATATATGTGTGTGTTTATGTATATACATATATATGTATATATACACATATATACAGTATGTGTATGTATGTATATACATATATATGTATATATATGCAAAAATATGCTTATATATACACACTGTATTTATGTATACATACATACATCTGTACCCACACAAATACATACACATATTTCCACACATATGTTCGCGTGTTTGTGCGTGTTTGGGTATGTCCGTTTAACTAAGTATGTATAAAGGCAAACAATAAATAACAAAAATATAAATAGGGATTATCAAAGATAATAAAATTGGTGACCACCCTGGTCACGGCAAATTCCCTTTCGCAAACTGAATTTCTCCTTCACCAAAATCCCCGGTTCTGATCTCTAGAGCAAGAACTGTTTCTCTCCTCCGTTTCCAAGATATGAAAATCCAATATAGGGCAACCGCTACGGCATGCAGAGGTGATAGATGATGCATGATAACGCATGATGCGGTGGTGATGCATAGCGCTGCACATGGCAGTTGCCATCGGTCCGTCTCTCTGTCGACGTCTGTAAAGTAGGCAGGCTTATGAAACACGCTTTGCAGTGAACACGAACACTCACACACGTACACACACATATAACCAACCGCAAATCAGTCTAAAACGCAAGTGCACACACAGACACTTTTTCTTCTTATACTTTAGTTTTGTCCCATTCATTTGTGGGGTCGATGTGATCTTGTTCTGGCAGATATTTTTATGGCCGCATACCCTTCCAAACGCCAGTGGCTAGGCTATATATATATGCATATGTATGTATGGATGGATGTATATGTCTGTATATACATGTATGTATTTATGCCTATATATGTGTATGTACACATACACACATATATATGTGTGTGTGTATTTACACATGGATATGCATACATATGTTTATGTCTATATACATATATATTTATGTATTACACAGATAGATAGATGCATGCATACATTAGTACATACATACATACACCAAAAATCATAAATAAAACACACAGACAGATTCATAATCTCTCTCTCTCTGACTGTCTGTCTGTCTCACTCTTTTTCTTTCTATTTATATGTATATATGTTAACACATATACATACAAATACATATATGTGTGTTTGTATGTATGTATATGTATATATATACACATACATATAATGACAAGATGGCGTGGCGAAATAACGAAATTTAGGGGCCAAGATTGGAAACAAAAACGTAAGACAAAAACTAGAAAAGAATGGTAGAGGCCTACGTCCTGCAGTGGATTGAGGGTGTTGATGATATATATATTTATATATATAATTCTATTTGCCTGATAATTTATTTACACTGCACCACATTATCGTGAACGTCAAACCCGGTAATCAAGTGTCTTGTCACCAATAGTAGCGTGAATGAACGACTGAATGAATGGAAGCGAGCGAGGGAACCCATTCAGAACCGAACGAAGGTCAGCGTTCATTGGCTGGCCCGGCCACACATGGGAAGAGGCCTACACGCACGGATGCGGAATGCACATTCATGTGTGTGGGAAAAAGAGTATGAATGAAGATTTTGATGAGTATGTAATATCGAAACCTTGATTATAAGTAATATCTTTATCAAATGAAGCATAAGATTCATAGACACACACATACACACGCACACACACACACGCACACATGTATGTGTGTATATATATACATACACATATATATAGACAGTGATATACAAGTATGATGTTGAGTTTTATGGTGAATGGAAATGTTTGAGATTGTTTGAAGGGGCTTATAGAGGATCAAAAATAAAATATCATAAGTAGATTCTGTATCCACGGGTGTATGTGTTGCCTATATTCACAGGCGTTTGTGTCTGTATGTGTCCCTGTTTGCGTCTCTACGATGTATATCTATGTAGGCGATATGTCTGTGTGTGTGGTATGCCTACCGTCTTACTTTATTTACTGACATATTTACCTACTTGGATTCTCACCGGTTTATAGATCCTGAATTTACCTCTTTAACTGATTAAGCATTCGTTAACGTTTTTCTCTCCTTCTCTGGCCTCTCCGTCTCCCTATTTCTCTTCATCTCATTTTTCTATTTCTTAATGAAGCACATTAGCTCTCCACAAACTTTTATTTGCAAGTACCTAGTGAAGGTACTGCGTGCAGAAACATACATAGGATGAATGGCAATTTCAATGGCGTCATTCCACACTATGAAGGGGGGGGGGGTTCCCAAAGTACCCTTCCTTCGTTAAAGAAAACCAAAGAAAGACCTACTTTGACCACGCCCTCCGCTTCCTCCTTTTACATTTTGGTGATACATTAAGCATGTGAATTTTAAAGATTCTCGACCCTTTGAGGGAAGGAAAAAAACAGTTCTTTTCTTAGGCACGGGTGACACAGATGGCACCCTTTTCATCCAGGCAGTCCTCGTCGCTTATGTAGTATTGTTTCTTGTTTGTGATGGCTGCGCATAAGCGGGACGGACGGTTATCGGGCGCCTGCGCGTATTGGTTGCACAACTCGTTGGCCGGCGTAGTTCCCTCCGCCGTCTCGTAACATCTAAGGAGAAGAGGAGGAGGATGAGAAGTCGCGCAGCTTGCCTCGGTGTGGTCGGAGGGAGAGCGTGGGATTTGGGAGGTGAAATGTGAGGCATTGACATTAGTTGTATATCATACACCTTGCAATAATAACATATCAACATTTCAGGGCATTCCTTCCTTGCCACTGATCCAAGATTAGTGTCCATGCCCACATCAAACCGCCGCCACACCACGACACCAACGATATCCCCATAAAACCCAACTCAAAAATATACACGAAAATTCAACGAAACCTTCCTCTCGCCCTTTGAGTCGCCGCCATCCTTACCTGAGGCTCCAGAAGGGCGTGCCGAGAGGCATCGGGTTCCCGTCGAGCCACACCCAGCTCAGGTCGTCTTGCTCGTACCTTCCGCCCAGCCAGAAGTCGCTGGTGAACTCTGGCGGGCGAAAGGGCGGGTCGGTTAGTGGAAATGAATGCCTATGGTCTACGTATGAAAAAAATGCTATAACTGGATGGATAGATATTTACCTTGATGCAGTTTACGTGTATATATATTGATATATGCATGAACCGTATTCATGTTGACAAGTGTAGAAAAGGTATGAATGAGAATGAATATCTTCACAATACAAGAGATGTATTTGACCGGTTTCGATTGTATATATATTGTAGATATAATCGAAACCGGTCAAATACATTTCTTGTACTGTGAAGACTTTCATTCTCATTCATACCTTTTCTACAAATATATGTATGTAAATATACATATATATGTATATGTGTATGTATTTGTATATGTATGTATGTGTATATATATACATATATGTATATATAGACACATATATAGATGCATGTATGCGTATATATATATATCTTTATATTTGACTTCATTTCTTTAATCTTATTTTTTCTAGTCACAATATATCACCATCATAACTAACAAACATCACAACGAGCTGACCTTGACTAAACAGCGAGAAGCAATCCCTTTACTTACTGTTATTGACAAGATACCAGATGAGATTGTAATATTGGTTGCCATTTTGGATGATGAACAGATGGCCGCCGCTGTCTTCACAGAACGTCCGCGCATTGGCCCAGGTGAACTGTGTATGTGTCTGTGTGGGGGGGGGGGGGGCAAAGGAGTCAGAATTTTTGACATATAGTACGTATCTCGAATGTACCATTTTTACCTCGGTAATACTGGAATTTGAGTGAACAAATACGCAAGTCCACAAACACACACATATATATAAAGGATTTTGACATTTAGTTATGGGAACTACTTACATGGAAATAGGTATAAAAAGAAAAAAAAAACTCACGCTTTCATTACTGAAGAAGGCGATGCACTGGTCGCCGACCTTGATATAAGGAGACGGGCAATTACCTAGGAAGAATTAAGAAAGGAAAATAATAAAGATAAGTCCAGAATCGCTAACTTCAAGGAACAAACCCACCGAGAAACGCTTTGAAAAAGATAACTGGAGACAGTGGCAGTTTATCCATCTGGCAAAGGAAACACTACTGGTTGGCCCCGTTGTATGAAAACTAAAATCGTTTCGACGCTTCGTACGGTTAGTATTTCATTTGCCTGTGTCAATTAACTGATCAAAATGCATGGTATGAACGAGGGGAAATTCCACCTGAAGACAGTGCATGTGCCACCAGCGCCGCCACTCTGCCGAAATGGCCCTGAGTGCCACCCGATAAAGTTCCTCGTCTAACCAGATGAGCCCCAAATTACCTGGTCATCAATGTTTACTATTCCTTCTCCGGGAAAAAAATGGGGTGTTTTTTCACGTTTAGGACGACTCTCTATAGTCGATTCTGGCGCCATGGCATGTCCTAGGCAGATATAACGCGGTATCACTTTAACAATTATAGATAGAATATATTACAGGTCTCGAAACGGTTCAACGTGTAAACTCAGATACTGAAGTTTGACAAAGGCGAACCCTGATAATTATGATAATGATATTGACAATGATAATGACTATTGCATTATTACTAGTTGTTATTAAGATTTTCATGAATATGATTATAGTAATCATAATAATAATGGTGATGATGATAATGATTGTGATAATAGTAATGATAATAGTAATAATAATGATGATACTAATGATAGAAATCATATTGATAATGACATCATCAATAATAATGATAAGAAGGATAATTATATTTATAACATAATGATAATAAAAATTATGATAATAATAGAAATAATAATGATAATAATAGTAATAATAATAATAATAGCAATGATAACAAGAAGAACAATAATGATAATGACATTAGGGGTAATAACAATGATAGTAATAATAATAATGAATGATAATAATAATAATAATGAATGATAATAATAATAATGATGATGATGGTAATAATAATTATGATAATAATAATAAGAGTAATAATAATGATAATAACAATAATAATAATAATGATAATAATAATGATAATGATAATAGTAATAATAATGATAATGATAATAATAATAATAATAATGATGATAAACAACATCCGACCAACAGAATCCAAAGTGGAAAGATGCTTACCGGGCGTATTGACTGGGGGAAGTCTGATTGTGTCTATGGGAACCAATTTCCTGTCTCCTAATATCTGAAACGTAGTGTAGTCAGTGTAAGACAAAGATAAGGCTAATCTCTAAATGCCCTGATATTGATTTGATTTAATTTTGATATGATGATGATGGTTGTTTAAGAGAGGGATAAGGGTAACTTTAATGCAATGCTATATACCTTTTTAATATGATAATGATGGCTATATAAAGTACAGTAATAAGATTTAGTTATGGTATATGATGGTAATAAGGATAATGATAACAGTAATAATGATGATATATAATGATGAAAATATTTGTACAATAAATATATAATGATCAATGATAGTGATGATACTGACAGAAAAGTAAAGTAACAACATATTAAGTTGTATTAGACCTCGATAACTATGAATTAGGATGAATCTTTATAATTTGACTGACATTGTTAATACAAAAAATATAAAGCGATATTTTAGATTTACCATAAATAAATTGTTAAGAAATGCGACATTTCGTTAGAAAAAAATCAGTCATGAACTTCATGTGATGATACCTACGATAATAATAATATAATAATTAAAAACTATGAAAGAAAATTATAGCGAATAGAAAATACAATGATAATGAAATAAAATAGCAAAGATAAAACAGTAAATTAGACAACCATCATTATCTATCGACTCACAGAGCAGATTTGACGGTCGAGAGTTCCTTGGCAAGCAGGCTGAGTTCGGTGGCAGTAGTTCTCGATGGAGATGCACTCTGAGGCTCCGTTGGCCCTGCAAAGGGCCTGGCCCTTTTCGCAATCCGTGTTCCTCCAGGCCTGCCAAGAGAGGGCTATCGTGTGTGTGTGTGCAGATAAACAAACGTATGTATGTGCATATAAAAATATATAAATATATATATACATATATATGTATGTATATAAATAAGTACAGATGCATGTATGTAAAAAAAAAAAAAAAAAAAAGTGTATATAAGCACATATACATACACATACACGAGTGTGTGGATATACATACATACATATGTATATATAGACATGTTTACGCACGCACACGCATACACACGTGTGTGGATCTTTTTTCGCGTGTATCCCCGCTCGTTAAGAGACTCATTAACCTCTCTAATGAACATTCACCGGTGACGTCATCCGATGAGGGCGAGCGCCAGCGCCCAATGCCTCACCGGGGACGGGCATTATATGATGCTGTAGGGAAGGGTCGCCTTGCGGGCAAGATAATCGTTAAAATCTAGAATGTGCAAATGGGTAATTTTTGGGATCAGCCATCACCGAAATGTCAAAGCATTTACAGACGACTGCTTAACTGATACCTACATTCTTTAAAAAAAAGTTTTTGAAATATTTATAACGGAGATGTGGTTATCCCAAAATTTTGTTTTGTTTTATTGAAAACCTTTTTCCTTACTCTATTGTAAAAAAAAAAAAAAAAAAAGCAGGCGCATTTTAACTTTAACTAATTTCTCAAACTCGTTGATTGCATTTACAATATGAATATTGTGACTAGTAATCTGCAATGCTAAATGGATATTTTGAAATGAATTATAGTTTGAAGGAGTAACAAGAAACAACAAATTGGCAGCTCGTCACAATGGTAGCTATATTGAGCGTACATGGTCATCCAGAGTATGCAAATATTACTAAAGAAAAAGAGAGAAAAAATACATGTTATCGTTGTGTCTTATCATTAACTGAGAGTATATATTTTCTGTTCACACAGTAGTTTCTCTGTGGTTCCTCTAGAATCAGCAAAATAAGAACAAAAACTAAAGGGCGCAACAGTTAAAATCTGCTAATCAGCATCCAAGAACTGCCGTTTTATGGGATACATACTGGTAGCGTAGTAAAGAATTTAAAATCTAAATAACATATGCGAGAAGATTAGTTCTTGAAGATGAATTTTAAAGAATTATTTAAAATTTTCACATTTGTGTCTATGGCAAGATTCTCCAAAATAGTCTAGAAAAAATAAGCTTAATATGTGCACCCGTGCGTGTGTGTGTGTGAGGCCATGTGGATGTGTACATGCATGTGTGTATGTGTGTCCATACCGAGCAGAATTCAGGGTCCTCATCCGAGGCATCAGCACAGTCGCTATCGTTATCACACAGGTATTGATAAGGGATGCAGAGCTCGCCGTTCGTGCATGAGATTTCGTCGCCCGTGCAGTCCAGGGCCGCTGCGAAAGGGTTGCCAGAAATGAGCCATTTGTTAACAGGGTTCTATGTGTGTGTATGTGTGTTAGTGTGTGTTTGTGTATTCGCGTGTGTGTGTTTATGTGCCTGTGTGTGTAACAACATCCCAAATTATTATTTGTTTGGGATGCCACGGCTGATCAGCCCAATGATCATTCCGTATGATGATGTACACACACATATATATATACATATATACTCATAATTATACATACATATATATGAATATGATGTACATATATATACATACATACATACATATATACGAATATATAAATATGCATACACACACATATGTATTTTACACACAGACATACAAACACACACATACACATATTGTGTATATATGTATATATATATGAATAGATAAACAAAAAATAAATTATGAAAATATTAAATGTATATATGTATACATATATGCAAATACATATATATAAATATAAAAAATATATACATATATACATGCACACACACACACAAATACATAATAATTGTATATATATGTATTTATATGTATATATATATATATTTATCTGTGTGTATATATATGTAATTGTATATATATATATTTTTTCATATACATATATATACATATAAATGTGTGTGTATATATACATATACATATGTATATATATATATGTGTGTATATATATAGATAGATAGATATACACACACACACAGACACACACACATACCCATACACACACACATACCCACACACATATATATAAATATATATATTTGCATTTGCAATGGATGTTAATAAATTGCCAGTCCCCAAGAGTTTAAGTAATGAGCCAAGCATTTCTCGCAAAATAGACAGTTGCATAACAAACAAATTGCAAACGAAAATACTCACTAGCAAAGCCGAGGCACAGAAGGAGCACAAGTGTCTTCATGGGGACGAGCATGGGCGTGCGGGCGTGGGAGAAGGGACACAGTTTCCTGCTGAAGAGCGAAATCGGGCGAAGTCATGTACTGGTTGCTAATCATTGATTTCCTGCCTTCATTTTCCCGCTTTTTATTTCCTGAAAGTCTCGCTTTATACTCTGTACATATCAATAACGAGTTGTTTGATATGGCATATCCTAGATTTCCGCTTTTCAGATTTTTATAGAGAATCAGAGATGTTATACATGTTCCGTTAGTGAGATTTTTTTTTCTTTCATCTATTTTGTCCGTTTTTTTCTATTAAGTTTAAGGTCGATTTTTTCCAGTATCAACGGGAATGGATTGTTGCTAATCATTTTCGTTTGCTTCCTAGCTATATAAGATATGATGGAACTCATTCAAATTTCTTTTTACATTTTTCTTACGAGCGCAAGCAAAATAAGCACTTGATCATTTGTTTCTATGAAAAAAATGGAAGTAACTATATCTTTACTATCATTGCCCTTATGCATATGACTGCAGTTATGTAAAGTTTTAATGCTAATAACGTACGTACCTAAAAAACTTTGTTGATTCCTTGTTTACGCCTTCATGTGTTGAGATGTAGCATATTAAGAACTGAATAAGTACACACACTCAGGCTTTATGCTTGTATGTATCTACTTACGTCTACTTACGTCCTTATCTTCTGTTTAGCAAAGCTTCTATAGACAGCTCTTCCCCTTTTGTTTTGTAATGTAGATGTTTTTCCTTTTACTAATGCTAGAAAAAGGTGTGTAGAGACATCTGTGCGTGATGTTCAGATCTTCATCCGGAGAGAAGTTATCGCGTGTGTGTGCGCACGTGTGTATGTGTGTTTTTGTGTCTGTGTTTATTTGTGTTTGCGTTTTGTACGTGTGCGTTTTTACTATACAGAAAAAAGTAAGGATAGAATGGAAAAGTTCGGTTAAACAATGCTGCATGATGTTGAGAAAAGTTGAAATAAGCTGAAACTATCGGAGGGAAATGACGTCGACCAATAGTAGCCTCCACCTGGGCCAGAGCCCATTGCCATCGTACATAAGATCCCTGCAAACGGAGGTTCACAACTTAAAAAATAATGGTTAATAGCCTCTAAACCGGAAAAAATAACGATTTTGAGTCCTCTAATGTCACCAAATCTGACATTTCGTGATCTATGTATCACTATCCGCAGGATTATATCTATTTTTTATTTAATGTTTACAGCGAAACGTATGTATGATCCAGAGACTAACAGATCATCGCAATGTAACAAAGGAAATTTTCTGGTCAATATTCAGTTAACCGAATACATAAAAATAACTAGCCCTCATGCTAGTTGCTTCCTCGCACTGTCACTTAATGTGAAAAAAGAGTACTTGGCAAAGAAATTCTAATGATAAGGGTGTTTTCTAGGCCTTTATGATTAACGGATCCAGCAGGCCGAATTATATATGTGTAAGATAAATATCAACAAAGATATAGGATCAAAATTCCTTTGACAGGATTATCTGTGGAATTAAGTTTAGATCATCCATGCTCGGCTTTCCTTCTTTGCGGAGGGATTGTTCACTTGAAGTACAGAGACAACGGCAGTCCTTTTTCCTGAGAATATTTAACAGCTCGCAGGAAATATGGGAAATTGCGCCAGAGATGATAATGCAACGAGGTCGACATTTATTTTTTCTTTTTCTTTGTTTTCCTCTTTCTCTAAGAATTTAGAAACTGGGGAAAATGCATAGGGTTCGACATCTCCCTAATGGAATACGAGTTAAAAACAAAGAAAATTTAGTTACTGAATACAATACAAAAAGTGATCGCAAATCCTTGCAAATGATAAGCCCTATTCCGAAGTCGCGAGTCATGAGTTACGTTGAACCAAGGTCTGCAAAATAGGCACACAC